GGGCGGGCGCGGAACAGGCGCGGGCTCTTGTCCTCGCGGTTGGGAAGCCCGGAGAAGTAACACCCGCCTGCGGTGTGGAAGCAGGAAGGAAAGTTGATAAAGATGAGCGCCGGGGGTTTGTTTTTCCTCTGAGACTGTGTTAGGAACAGGAATGTGGAAAAGAACGTTGTCGCTTTTTGATTTGAAATGCGTTCCGTTCATGGGATTTTTCAAGGAGTTGTGTCGGGAGGGAGAATGGATAATAAAAGTTTAGTGGGAATCTTTATTGCCTTGTATAGCAGGTTTCTTAAAAATCTGAAATACTTCACATTTTTGTGTGTCTTTTTTTTTCCCCCCACCCTCACTGTTAGTTTATCAGCCTTTAGATCGTTCATGCTATGTATGTATTTTTTAGTCTTAAAGCAGGGTTTCCTAAAGAACTGTGACAAAAATAAATAAATAAAATAAGAAGTTTTAGATGTGTTTGAGTTGGTCAGGCATTCTGTAGCTACCCAGGAAGCTCTCCCTCCCATTTAACACCTTGTTCTTTGGCTGTCCACCTGCCCAGCCTGGCAAAATGCCTGCGGAAGTTGGGCAGCAGCTAACCTGGCAAACTCGAGCGGGGAAGGAAATATCAGGGAGAACCAAAGAGCTTGCAGGACTGCTGGGATCAGGAGTTGCAGGCAGCAGCTCTACTTCCTGAACTTGAGGTTCAGCAAAATCATCTTTCTTAGCTGCAAACTTGTTTGAAAACTTTAATGTAGATTTAGTTGGCTAAGAGTCAGTCAGTAACAGTTAACTCTGTTCCTAGAATCAAGGTGAGAGTTGTGCTTTGATTGCATTTTTTTTTCCAAATGCACAATGGGAAATTTGCAACTGGTACATTTTTTCACTAATTCTTTATGTAATTGCTGTCTATTTGAATGGACAGGGTCCCATTGGCTTTGTCTGTAGAGGAAAATGATTTACTCAGTCCTTTCATTTAAAGCCTATGCAGGATGGAAGATACCAAAATTGAGCAAAGTTTTGTTTCTTAATACCTTAGTATACACTCTACATGGAATATGCTAGCAAATGGAGGTACTTTAGTGGGCTGTTGTGAAGAAAGAGTGGCAATATTGTTTTTAGCTTTTTTTTCTACTACTATGGACAAAGTATTTAATGTGAGTGGAAGTCTAATAGCTTATTTAAGAATATCAGACAAGGGTTATTTGTATTTTATGACATACAGAGAAGTCACTGGAAGACTTCAAAAGCAGGAAGAAACTACTGGAAGAAAAAAAGCAGTCAAAATGAAAAGACTTGTGTTTTACCATAGAAGCATCACGAATATCCAATTCAGTTGATATTCAGTATCAAATTCAGTTCAGTTAAAGAACTGTTTTTTTTTTTTTTTTTCCTGGAAGTATCTGCTGGTGGTTTGCATGCTGGTCTGTGGCGTGGGTCCTCTTAGAGCCCCCAGAGCTCTCCTTGTGGCTGCGTTGCTGCCTCCAGCTCTTCCTGAAAGCCATGGGCGCCTGCAGGGTGATAAGGTGCTCATGTAGGTGCGGTCCTGACCTGGTGCACGTCCAGGGTGCACGCCCAGAGCTGTGGTCCTGCAGTGCAGGAACAGCTCCTGAGATGGAGGAGAGCCTAGGGAATTTTCTTGCAATTTCTTACGCAGACGGACAGGTATGCTTAGGAAAAAAAAAAAAAATCTTGGAAACACTATTGGTTGGGTCAAAGATGAGCTGATAGAGGTGTATGAATTTTACTCTTCAGGTAGCAAAATTTTGTTTTTCTTTGATCATCTCAGATTGTACTTCCTCGATACTGATGAATTTTAACTCTGATAATGCTAGGTGTGGTAAAATTCAGTCAAGAATACATCAGATTACTACTGTAATCTCAGAGCTAGTAGTGATTACCTTTTAAAATACATAAAAATTTGGGAAGGGGGAGGGAAACAAACATAATACTTAGCTTTAAAAAGAGAAAAGAAGAGGAAATTGTAAGCTCCCACTTTATGTTCCCAATAGCATGCTGAAACATGGCAAAAATTTGCAAGCATCTATACAGTGATTCAGTTTTTTTTTTTTTTTTTTTAGGTTTTTGTTATTAAAAACTCAAATGTGAAACTGTGAAATACATGAAGCCTGTTTTATCCATTTTACTCAACTCAATGATACTTAAAAGCAAGAGACGGGGAAAAAAAAATCCTGAATCTGAATCAGACTTCCTAATTCTGAGTTTAAGAATCATGTTCTGGGATTCTTGAAGCAAGTCTAGAGATTCCCAGAAAGCCTGGGATTCTTTAGTCTCGAGAAAAGAAAGTAGTTAAGGCACATGATAACAGCTTTCAGATAAATAAAAGGTAATTGTGAAGAAACGGGGGTTATACTGTTTGCTGAGTGTATTTGCATGACAGACTGTTTAAGGGATACCTAAAATTAAGCGTTTGAGCTTCTATTATGAAGAATGGAAAGGTAGCTGATACAGAGGTCACCTATGCTAGTGTTTTAATTTGGATTAAATTAGGTTTTTGAAGCAAATCTCTAGCGTGCGTGAATCTGACTCCAAACCAAATTGGTGCATCCATTCACTCATGGGTGTCTGGCCAACGGGATCAAACTTTTTCTAGTCTGAAGTAGAAATCAAGTGTGTGCAGTGCCGGTTCTCAGCAGCAAGTTTAGAAACAGTGTTCACGTAGGCATAGAAGATTTGGTGTTTTAATCTGAAATTAAAGCTCAGCCACAAAGCAATACAATCAACTTGCAAAAGGATGAATTAGGTTAAAAGTTGAGAAAAATGTTCAGTTTGAAAGGGTAGCTATGCATTGCCACAGATCAGATAGAGAGGTTGTGACATCTCCATCACTAGTTTTATGAACAGGTTAAACTGTTGTTAGCAAGCATTCAAGTATAGATGCTACCCCAGGGCAGGGAGATGGACTTCCAGATAACCTTTGCCAGTCTCTTCAGCCTCTTTTTCTAAGTGTGCAAGATCTCCACCTACCCAGAGTCTAACCCTGCCAAACTAACTGGCAGGATGTGCAAGATCTGAATGTCTTTTACACACAACGTATATGAAAGGAGCACATTTTTAGGGCTTCTTGCTTCATAACGAAGCAAGGCAAACAGACACACACCCTCTTACTCAGCCTGCATCTTTACAGTGTAAAACTGAGCCGTGTGCTCAAAGCCGTTCCCTTTAGTCATTTCCTGATTATCGCACCAACTCTCATTTGTGCTCGAATTGCTGGTTGCCCCTGTACGTCACTCCCTTTTCTCCTGCTCTCACCTACGTTGGCCGTCTTCATGAAGTATTTCGCTCAAGCCTCAGGTTTTCCAGCTCATTCCTGTAACAACTGGGTGTCTTTTGACAATGGCTCTCAGTTTTGAGTCATTAGTAGGTATCATTGGTATTGGCGTTATTTATTTATTTATTTATTTATTTTTTTGGTATGCCAAGGCTTTAATCTGTATTCTGTGATAGGTAGCTCTTGCTGAGCTATTTAATAAAAAGTAGTAGTCCATAGTATATATAAAAAAGGAAATTCAGAATTAAAGACTTGTTAGATATGTGAATTCTCCCACTTGCTTAAAAAAAGAAGTTTAATTGAAGAGTGCTTTCTCATATATTTAAAATGGTGTATTTTTCAAAAGCTTAAAAGATGCAAGAGCCTTTTATATATTTCTTCCACGTGTATTTATGCATATTATAAATAAAATTGCTGTTATTAAGCACTTTTTGTAGATCTCTTAGAAGCTCCTTCTATTATTCCCTGCAAACCATGGAATATAGATTGAAAAGTGCAGAAGCGGCAGTGCTTTTTTATTATCTTAGTAATAAAACAGTAAGTTTTGAGGTTATTTTATTAGTAAACAACTCAGATCAATTTGTCTACCTTAGAAATTGAAATATGATATTTTATTATTTATAACTACTAATCTCAGCTTTCTTGATGTCCCCTTCTTTAATGTTCATCTCAGTGGAAGACTTGCCCATTCACAGATTGCAGATACTTTTGTTTGTCCTGTGGTTCCAGGAAACTGAATGCTTTATTCCTCTCATCTCCATTAAAGATTGACAGAAAACAATTTCCCTTCTGTTTACCAATAAGGACCAAAAAAAAAAAAAAAAAAAAGTTCAATAGGAATTCTTTGCTCCTACATGCTTTCCAAAAGTGTATTGCAACTCCTGTAGAAAAAAAGGTTACTATGAAACAATTCTTATGTTACTTATCTCATGCATTCATCAAAGTCTTATTGCTACAATGTATATTTTTATTAAAATTAAAAATCCATTAAACTAGCACAAACAATGATATTATACATATGTTTATGAAAACAGCCTGATATGCAGTTAAGAACATGTAGCTCTTAGAACTTACTGATCATTGTTTTTTTTCTTCAAGATTTATATATTGGGAAAATTGCCATTTGGAAAACGAGGTTTTGTTATGCAAGTTGAAACAGTCTGCTACATTTCCCAACACTATTCACTACATTGTGTAGGAGAGATAAGGTCTTCTGTAAGGAGGAAAAGAAACTATCATAGACTATCGCAGATGGAGCAATTCAGGTTGAGTCAGAAGGAGTGAACAGGGAGAGCCCAGACCACAGCCTAGATAAAAGCCAAAGGGAATGTAAGGAATTGTCAACTATTTCAGCTGGAAATCTCTTCGTCTGAGCTTGGTTTGTTTTAGGCATTAATATGAGTAAAAATCATGTAAGATGCAACATGTAAGAAGATGTAGAAGTGTTGGGAACAATGAAAGTATTCTCTTATCCCCTATGTTTCTCTGCCTTGTTTTTGTGAGGAATGGAGATATGTCATTTTTCCTCCTAAATTAGATGGTTAAAGATAAGTGGGATGAATCCAGACCACAGTCTGTTAGGGTAGTTATCACTAGAAAAACAATCTGTTGTCAGATGTGAAAAGAAAGAATGCAGAACGGGTGGTGAGGATTCAGCTTTTGCTCACAGGCTGCAGAAATGCTCTTTTTCTCGGTGTACTCTAAGGCAATCAGTAAGTGCAACAGGGAATAAAGCAGTCATTGCTCTAGCTGTTTCAATGCAGTTGCACAATACTGCTGCAATACTTTTTTGGTGTATATTTGCTTTTGGACATTAGTTAAAACCTCCTGTTCTCATGTGTTCAGAAAGCCATTGTAACATGCATAATCCATGATTCGTCCAAAAGAGAGTGAGCTGCTCCAGGGTGCTGATGGCAGTTAACACCTATTTGTATTAATGACAATTTCCCATCTTTTTGGAATGCAGAGGAATTATATGGCACAACAAACGTGAACATTCAAAAATGACCGTAAAGTCAGCATTTACTGAGAAAAGGTCTTAACTGCTTTTTGCCCTTCTAGGAAAAAGTAGTGTAAAACCTTAACTTATACTGCATTTTACAATTATAATATATTTTTAATGTGAGTTCAGGTAAATTATTCATCAGGCAATATTAAATGGGAAATAGTAAATGTTAATTTATATATGGCAGATTCCTTCTGCATGATTTTGCAGTTTTTATGTGGGAAGTTATGCAAGTTTAGTTTTAATGCTGCTTGAGTGACGAAGAATTAATAAGTCATCATATAATTTATTTTACAGATCTTCTTGAATTATGGAGATGGACTCTATTTTCAGGTAGGAAATTATGGAAAATTGATTTTCTTTATCGGTGGCTGAAGAAGCATGGCCTTCCTTCAGCTTGAGTTGCACCATTTTCTGGAACTTGAAAGCTATGAAGTGTAAGCAAACAGAAGTGAATCAGATAAATGCTATATCCATCAAAATGAGTCATGTTGTACTTCAGGAAATCTTCCCTAAAACATTAAATTTGTTGCTGTCTACTTTGAACAAGTGAAGTAGGCTGTAATTTTCTAAAAGGCATTAATTATGTGTCTGGAAATCTAGACCCACAGTGAGGAATAGACTGGGCAGAAGGGAAGGCAAGGTGGGGTCATGTAGTTGAGCAGGGATAGCTGAGGTGGATTAGATAGAGATCTTTCATTTCATGAGCAGGATCTCTACTATAGAGAAGACCGAGTATAGGGAATATTGAGGAGTGAGTAAACAGGATAACAAAGCAGAAATGAAGGTTTAACAAACAGCATGTAATGAAAAATTTCTTCCCTCATCTGATGACAATCACTTAAATAAAGCTATTCTGGTTGACTTTCACCCGTCCCTGGTCATGGATAACTTCCTCATGTGTTTATGTACTGTCTCGCATATTTCTGTACTGATAGAGATCAGTGTTGCTTTCCTCCTCAAACAACTTTTGATGAACATGCAGCTCAGATTAAGACTCAGAAAGCTAATGCTGGTGAATGGTTTCTAAGTTGTTAGGTGCTAAAAGTCAGAAGAAAATGAGTGGTGAGATCAGCATGCAGTTTGTGCTACAGTAGCAATAGAACACTTATCTTAAACGGTCAAATGTAATGTTGAGATTTAATTTTTTTTCCCCTCCACAGATTTACAATGTAAAGCCCAAGACTGGTGTGTTGAATCATCCTCACAGTCTTGTCAGACAGAAGCGCGAATGGACAGTCCCTCCTGCTCTCATACGAGAGGAGGAAGACAACTCTTACAGGAATCCAATTGCTAAAGTAAGCAGGAAAAAGATAAATATAGGATATGCTTAAGAATAGAAAGATGAAAATATAAAATAAGAATGTGGCTGCCTTAAACACATGCACAAGTGTTTCTCGAATTTTAAAGATTTATCAGATGTCAGTAAAAGATTGACACACTTGCCTTCTGCTGAGTTACTCTCGCAGCCTGAATTGGGGGGCTCATCTTTTTCTAGCCACCAGTTTTCATAAAACTTGTGGGACTGCAACACATTTGAGGCTCCCTGCCCTTTTCCCTCCCTCCCCCCCCCACCCCCAAACCAGAAATAATTGAATTTAGCAAGCAGTGATTGGATAGCAAGGTCTACCTGGAAGCTACCATGCTTATGAATGCCTATTTATTTTTAGGAAACTGGCTGAAAATAACTGAGGTGTTATCCTGTCATGAATGATAGATCTGCATATAGCAGAAATCTCTTCTACCTGTTCATCCCGGTCTGGCCTTTTTTTTTTTTTTTTCCATTTTAGTTCCTCTTCATTCATGGTCCCCCTTGCTAGCCTAGGTCTAGTCCGTAGTTTAAAAAGATGCTACATCTTAGTTCCAGGTTTTCCTTGAGTAGTTTTAGTCTTCTCTGCTCCATTCATTGTTCCAGATATTGTTCTCTCTCTCTCTCTCTCTCTCTCTCTATTCCCTGCCTTGTCTTTCTCTTCTGTCTTATTTGTCCCCATTTGAGCTGCTGGTTACCTTCTTCCCTCATTCCAACTTTGCATCTTATCTCACTGCTTTGGCAGACCTTCCAGTCAAACTCCTGCTTGCGCTTCCATCCTATTGCACTCCTTTTCCAAGCAGTTTCAACCTTCTTCTTGCATAGACCTCTCCCTTCTGGTTTTGAGGCCTGTGTCACCATCGCAGCTGCTGCACTGTCCCATCATGTTCCTTTCTGCCTGCATTGCATCTTCGAACGAGCATGTGATGCTTCTTGCAAGCTCTTTAACGTCTCCATACCCAAACAAGCACGGGAAAACATCGTTCATTTCTGTTTGTTTGTTTATTATTTTTTTCTCTGTGTTCTTAATGCAGTTTTTATTAACAATCTGTTGTATTCATGCTAGATACATTCTGATCTTGAAGAGACCGGGATAGTGGTAACTTACACTATATCCGGTCAAGGAGTAACAGAACCCCCTTATGGATTATTCGTTATCAATGGAAAGACTGGAGACCTGAACATAACAGGAAGGGTTGACAGAGAAAAAACTCCAATGCTGCTTGTAAGTTGAATAGCTATGTTTTTTTTGTTTATTTACTGCGAGCGTGCTTCTATTTAGAGATATATGTGTGTGTTTATGTAACAAATGCGTATAGTTTGTGTGTATATATACATATAATATGTGTGTATGTTTTTAAATTTATTTTTTGTTCAGATGCATTGACTTCAATTATGTTTGTTTCTGGGCATTTCTTCATGACAAAGTTAGATAGAGCCATATATATTAAAGTCATTTGTTGATTTTTTTTTTTTTTCCCTCTGTATTCTTTCAGGTCCGAGGTCACGCTCTGGATAAAAATGGAGCAAAACTGGAAGAGCCAATAGATCTGCCAATTAAAATCATAGATATAAATGACAACTTCCCAGTTTTTTCACATGAAGTTTTTGTTGGTTCAGTTGAAGAATTAAGTCAAGCAGGTAACACTATTTTAATTTTTTTTTTCCACTTGTCTTTTCCCAACCCATGCTAGGGTGCAAATGAACATAATCTTTGCTTTAATATATTTGCAATAACAAGGATGTGTTCTCTTGCATGGATGTTATTTGTGTTTGCATGCAAGTTTTCCATCTGAGGCTAAGCTGTGTGATGTAATGAAGAAAAAGGATCCATCCATATAGAATCATCATACTAAAGCTGTGCTTTCTAGTATGCTAGCTTGGTTTAGTGTCAAATCTACCACAAATCCAGAGACCAGACTCCTTAAGCAGGAACTTGCATGAAAATGCAGTCCTCTTTCTGGGCTAGCAATGGCAGTGTTTTGGGAAGCTCTTTGTAGTGCCTGTGAAAAGTCCCGATTTATCTGTGGGTACTGTAGCACTTGTCAGAGCATTTGGTCCTGATTCAAACCACAATAGAGAAGTTAGCAGCAGCCTTCATGTTAACAGGGGGCAACTCGCTAGAGTCATTTGATCAGAATTTGGGGCAACACATTATATCCCAGGACGTAAAAAAAGGAAAGTTAGGGTAAAATAAGCCAATAAATCCTTCATGGTATTTGTTTTAATGCCACAATAATCTGAAGAAATAAAGTACTGAACATCGAGTTCTGTAAGGTATTAAGTTTCCTCCATCTTCTCTGAAGTCAATAGGAACCATACGGTACTTACCCTCCCACCCTGCCTGCATCTCAGCTAATGTGTAAGATCAGTATAGGTGCTTGAAACTGAGGTATGCTCTTTCTGAGAGGACAGGATGTCCTATGTCTTATGATCTAACAAGAGCATTGCACTGTGCGGTCTGTCGTATTTTTTTGAGTGAAGCTGTTGGAAGACACTGCAAAAAGCAATTGTTTTGTTAATGTTCAGATAGAAAAGCTAGAATTGCTCCCTTTAGTATAATGTGACAGGGAAATATAGCTGTTGTGTACACTAACTTTCCGTCTTTTTTTTTTATCTGCAATTCCTATCAGATTTTTTTTCAGAGTTTTTAAATTATTTGATCTGTTGAATAATTCTGGTGCACTGAATTCTGCAAATTGGAAATGTGTGTTGAAAATGTTTTTCTTTACTGAAGGATATACTTATAACAAGTATTACCTGGCTTTCAAGGACACCTCTTCATCTCTATTCATTAAATAAGCAAAGGCAGGAGCAACAGAAAATTGTTCAGTGGGTCTGACACACTCCCTTGTCTAGAATGTCACAGAAAAAAATACCTGCCAGTGCATGATGGTGTAAACCGATACTATGTTTTGTTTGCTTTCTCAGGTACAATTGTAATGAGGATAAATGCAACAGATGCAGATGAACCGAACAATCTAAATTCCAAAATTGCTTTCAGGATCATTTCCCAAAATCCTAGTTCTGCGTTCCGTATAAAGAATGATACTGGCGAGGTTCAAGTAGAAGCAATAAACCTTGACAGAGAGGTAAAATAACTCCCGTTGATGTCTCATAACAGCATCTTCTTGCTTTGGCACTGCCTGCCCAGGCAAAGAACTGGTCCTCTCCTCTTCCTTTGCCCCTTCTGGGGATTAAAGAAAATCCCTTGTCTTGATGCATGTTTTTCAGGGCCTGTAGGGTTGAGCAGCAACAGGATGGTTGTGTCCACAAGTTGCCAGGTCTTTGCCACCAGCTTGCTGCAGCCCAAGCAGCAATCGTGGAGAGAGGGGTCGATTCGCCCTGCTGCTGCTGAGCAAACGGGAAGGAGGGCCCAGGCTGCGCTCTGCAGAGCTGCTGGCTGTGCCTTGACTTTTCATAGCTTGCTATGCAAAACAGGGTGCAAAGTGTTAGGACGCCTACTGCTATGAAGCAGTGTTGAAAGCTATGTGTGATCAGCAGCTTTCCTCTGCTTGCATGTATTTTTGCTGGCCAGCAGATGGTGATGCTGGTTGTCTCACTATATCCAAGAGCAGCATCTCTGCATCTGTCTGGGTCCTAGCATGCCCCTACTCATGTCCACTGACCTTTCCCATTCTTATTCAGTGGGTAGATGTAAAACTTCCAAATATTTTCTTAAGTCCAGGACTCCAGCAGAGGCAGTCAAGATAGTTGTGTGTAAGATCTAATACTATTTAGAGAGATAAGGTGTTAAAACTAGCCTTTCCATGACAGGGAGTAACAGAAGTATAGTAAGGACAATAATCTACACTATAAAGCTATTCTTTGCTTTTAAACAATTTTTATATTCTGGCAGACACACAGCAGATATTCTTTGGTGGTGGAAGCAAAAGACAGAGGTGGTGCTTCAGATGGGAATGCCGCGAAGTGCTCTTTAGACATCAAGATTTTAGATGTCAATGACAATTTTCCCATTGTCGAAAGTCGGACAGTAAGTACACTTAACAATATTTGTGTTTTCACACTTTCTAGTATCACATTGCTTGCAAACTTTTTTATGCAGGATTTACTGAGAAAGTGAGGTAAGCTGCTGCATCCTTTTTAAAGAGTTTTGTTTAACTGCAGCTTGAAGGAAGCATTGAAGAAAACAAAGCAAATGTGGAAATTATGCGAATAAAAGTATCTGATAGAGATGAAGAGTTTTCTGATAACTGGCTGGCAAAATTTGCGTTTGCTTCTGGTAATGAAGGTGGCTATTTTCATATAGAAACAGATGCCAAAACAAATGAAGGAATTTTGACTCTTGTGAAGGTTAGTATCCGCTTTACAGAATCTTCTTTAAATATCGGAATAATGGATCTTTTTGGTATAAGTTGAAATATAGATCATTTATATTCAGTCAGTATGTAAGCTGTAAATAATTTGAGGTAAACGTTCCTCCTTTTCCCTGTTCCTTGATATATAAAATAATTTCATAAAAAATAATTTTGTCTAGCCTTTCCATTTGCATTCTGTGTGACCTCAATGCATCTGTGGGGGCAGAAATTCCCAAACTTTTCTATTTGTAAGCAGCACAAACACATACACAGTAACCTTCACTTTATTTTTTTCTCTCTTTGCTGGTCACAGTTTAATTTTTATTTCCTATGGCCAAAGATAACTTTGCAGGCAACACTTACTCCATGAGCCATAAGTTACAGGCCATTTTGTAAACTTCTAGATAATCTTCTGCTCCCTTTTAATTAGATGGATAGTACCCTAGGAAAGAACTGTGGGATTTTTTGGTGGTGGTATTAGGGTTTTTTTGTTTGTTTGTTTCCTTAAATAATTGTACATTTTGATAACATTAATGAATTGATAAGAAATAATTAAAGGGACAAGTAATATGGAGTACTGATGCATTTAAAGTAGCAACAGAATATATGGTTAAGTACCTACCCTTAAATTAGTTTAAATTCAACCATATAAAAGATAGAACTATGATGCCATGCATGAAAAAATAAAATAAAAATTAAAAACAAAAAAGAGAGAGAGAAGGAAAATCTTTGCTACACACTCTTAAAGAGGTAAAGCATTACATATTGAGAGTAACATGTTAACTGAGAGTTCTTCACCCTGTAGCATCTTTTCACCAACATCATTTAAATACTAATGGTACGACTGTTGTCTAGATATCAATTTTTGAGTGATCTCTTTTTCTGTGATTGCTTTAGGAACTAAATTATGAAGAAATGCAAACCCTAAACTTGGGCATTGTTGTCACAAATAAAGCAGAATTCCATGAGTCAATTAGAAAGAGCTATAAAGCACAAGCAATTCCAATCAAAATTAATGTGATTAATGTCCAAGAAGGCCCTAAATTCCCAGGTGGCACAAAAATCATTAAAACAAGTGAGACCATGCGGAAAAACCAGATTATTGGACAATATCAAGCCATTGATGAAGACACTGGAAAAGTGGCAGAGCGTATTACGTAAGAATCTTCTTTTTATACCCATCTCAAAGATTGTATTTTATATATTAAGTCAAATCTGAGTTAAAAATAAGTATATATTCACCTGAAATAGCTTGAAAAGCAATCTCTTTGCTTCTATGGATAACTGAGACATGAAACTAAAAGATCATAATAATCAAAAAACTTATATAGCAAATTATTGCCTTAAAAGTCCTTGATACACGTGGCAAGACATGAGTGTTTCTGCTGAAACTCTCTGTGCTTGCCTACTGTTTTTCGTGCCCTTACATTTTTTTAGAGTAAACTTACTCACTTGACTTTGTCTGTGGAAATATAAGGAGGTATTTTACAGAAATACGTGGAAATTAGACAAAAAGGGTGTCAGAGGTCGTAAGTTTGCATGTGCATATATGCAACTGCATTTAGATTTTTGAGTTGCTTTTTTTCCAGCCAAAATTTGACTGAATTGTCACCATGACATTCATAGATCCAGCTGCAACCAGCTGGATTCCACGTGTCTGTGGAACCCTGTCACCCACTCAGGTGACAAGGCTGCAGCTGCTGCCCAGATTTGAGGGACAGTAGGAGTGAAGGGGAAGAAGTGGGGCCAGCAGCAGAGCTCCCTCTCCTGTTCATTTTTTGCCCTCAACCTACGTCTCATTTTATAATGCTGGCTCTAGAGAAGAAAATGTTAATGTTCATGGTATGTTTATAATCTTAGATTTACAGTTTAAGCCAGTCATAACAGCAGGAGAGTCAAACCTCATACCTGGGCATCTTGTAGCAGCTTGAAAAAGGGAGGAAGCTGCCTTTCCTATTCATGATTTTGCTCATTATAAATATGTACACTTTTATATGCACTTTTAATCAGATACATCAAAGGAAGAGATTTGGCAAATTGGATCACAATAGATCCAAATACAGCTGAAATCAAAATTACAAAAGACCTCGATTATGAATCAGCGCATGTAGTAAATGGTACCTACGCTATCACCGTGATGGGCGTAACTAAAGGTAAGTCTGAAGTGTTTCATTTTCACACTGTTTGGTCAAACTTAATTTGTTGCAAATTTCCTGTTTGTATAAGGGTTAATCTCCCTATCTTTAACCACCTGACAGTTGGGTGTGCAGTACAGTTTCAAGTAGACTCTGTTTAGAGGAGAGAAATGGGCATCTCCTTGAAGACGGGTGGCCCTTGGAAATAGGTTCCCGAGATACCTTTCTGTCTTCTTTGACTGCACAGAGGTTAAACATATGGTTAAGATGTGTGTAACATTCAGGTGGTAAAGTTAATGCACCCTAACAGAAATAGCCAAAGGTCAGGTGACAGGCACTTCTCATGGGACACTGCCAACAAACCTAGTGCAAAGGTTCAACTAAGCAGGTAACTGAGAACCAGCTCCGGTATTTCTGGAAGTAGAGAGGCTTTCTATAGTGCCTTATTAGACTCTAGCAATCTCTCACTGCCTTCTGCAAACACACCTGGATATTTTCCTGATGCTACTTTTAGTAGCCCTTACAAGTATATAAAGTTTGCTAAATGCAGCATGTCTTCCTCTTTTCAGTGAGGGAGGAGGGCTTCTTTGGCTCTCTAGACATCCCTAATTGTCTTGGCACTGAAGTTGTTTAGAATTGTACACTCTTACTGAGACATTTCAGTGACAAGAGGTAATCTGTTCAGTTTACATGCTTCCTTCATGCTAAATCCATTTTGCTGCGAGGGCATTGCCTACTCAAACTAAATTACATAACATTATAACATTTTGTGCAGATGGATAAGAATGTCTAGTGTCAATCTCTCTGTAATCACCAGATTTAAGAGCCCCCCTTTTTTTTTTTTTTGAATCAAGATATATGCTCATAACTTCTGGTGCATATAATTAGAATTCTCTCTTTGTAGCCTGCATGGTATTGTACAATTGTACACAGGAAATGCCTTTTAAACTAGTAAAAAAGAACTTTTCTTCAAAAGAACTTTCTCAATATGCTTATAAAGGTTAGGTATGAAATATTGCTCCCATAAGCTTCAATGACAGCAGCATTTTCTTAAATATTTATTTTAAAAAGTATGAAGTTTTTAAGGTAAGATTTTTCTACATATCAAATCAATACAATTTGTTATATTTTATATTCATAATTTGTTATATTTTATATTCATAGATTATCCTAAGAAAACAGTTACCGGCACAGTCCTCCTTCAAATTGAAGATGTGAATGATAACTGTCCAACTATTGTGGACCCTGTGCGGACTGTGTGTTCAGATACAAAATCAATTGATGTTACAGCTGCTGATCCGGATAGCTACCCTAATAGTGCTCCCTTCAGTTTTACTCTTATTGAGCAAGAAAAGACTGCAAACAAATGGATGATTGGATCCAGAAATGGTAAGAAAATATATTCCAACTTGCTTTCGGCTCTTTGAAGTTTTACAAAGGTGTTTCACTTTAATTCTGGTCATGCTGGTATTTTGGCCAAAAGACCAAAAAAAACCAAAATCCACGTATGTGCATGGAGACATCATTTGTGTCCTACTCTCTTCTCTCTAGTGGATGTAAAAACACAGTTATATATTCTGGGACCTAATCCCTTCCCGTAGTTGGACCATCTTTGTCTAGCTTGATCACTCACTGTGGCATCCAAAAGTTCATGGATGATCCTGGGATTAAACTACACTACATCTCCCCAAAGAAAGCAAGCAAAGTGATAACTAGATGAACTTCATTAGAACTAAGTTTGGAGATATGACTGCGTTACTGGGCTGCAGATACTTTAGTCTTTGATTTAAATAGAAAAAAAATGTCTTGTAGTGTGGGCCTTGGGGAAGGGAAATGCTATGCAACCTGTCCAAGACTGTCTTTTCTCTAGCGCTACCAACTGCTGGCCTCTGTGCCTGCAGCCGTCTTCTTGAATCAGTTGAATGAGTGCTTCAGGGTGGTGTTCCCTACCTGGGAAGCTGGGATCATCCAGGCATTTCTCACCAAATTGTGTCCTTGACATCACATGGCCACAGAAATGAGTGTTTTTACTTGCCTGGTTTCTGCCTGTGGCCTATAACAGATTATCCGAAAAACTGAAATTATTTTCTTCTATTCAGTCTTTATTTATTTGGATGCAATAGAGATTAGCACTAGGCAGGTGGTCAAGCTGTATCGTGTAATAGTTTTTGCTAGTTGGAAACTCTTCCACAATTATCTAAGACTGCAAGTGAAGGTAATCGTGTTGTAACCAGGGTGAATGATTTGATTAAAAGTAACAGTGTACAAGCTGTAGTAGCAGCTAATTAAAGTTAATTCCATTGCATTGACATGACTTAACCAGGGGCCTGGTGGGAGGTTGGTAAGACCTTAGTTTACAGGAACTAACTTTCTCTTTACTTATTTCTTGATTGCTTTATTTTTCTTTAACCTCACCCTTCTACCTCAGACACCAGTATACAGCTGATCCCACAAAACCTGAAAACCGGCAAAACTGAAGTTCCAATCTTAATACAAGATCACCAAGGATTCAGCTGTACGCAGAAACAGTCTCTACAGCTGAGTGTTTGCACATGTCCACGTGACAGCTCTATACCTGTATGTGCCGCCGAGCGTCAGTCAGCAGGTCTGGGACCTGGAGCAATTGCACTAATCATCTTGGCAATTCTACTTTTGCTGCGTAAGTAAATGTTTTGATTATCTCAGAAGTCCTAGGAATATGGTCTGCAAGGCACCTGAGAAGAAGCAGTTTCTGCTCTGAGGGGTTTATCGTCTTTATTTACGTTTTGAGTAATTTCCTAGTCTGTATGGCATCATGGCACATTTTCAGCTAATTCTGGTAATGTCAGCATTTCATCCTCAAAAGATTTCAAGCTTTCCGTTTCAGAATTAGTATGTCAGACTTAAATTTTTATTTACCATGCCATAAATACCACATGGATAAGGAGTAAGAAAGCTCAGTGTTTTCCACAATTTCCCCATGTAAACCTTGACTCTTCTTCCTCAGGCCACAATGCCGTGATTGCTCTCCACACTCTTCTCCCTCACTGACAGCTCGAACATGGTTACTTATTCTAAATAGCACAGCGTCTTCTGAGCTTCCACTTTTATCTTGCTGAAGAACAAAAACAGCACTTTGAGTTGATTACGACGGCATATGCCAATGTTTTAAACCAGCGAAAGCTTATTGCTTATCCTAGTATAATCTAGCTATAGCAAAATAGAGTTCATTCCAGGCACCTATGTTCTGTTCTTGAAGCAAAAGTGTTTTCAGTTCCGCAGGTAACACTGTGAACATATCATAGGAGCAGTGAGGCAGAATCTATATAAAGCTATTTATTTGTCTAGCCATTTATTTGCCTAGTAGCAAAAGAAGAACTTAAACATTTCTAAGGTTGTACATGATTATTTAGGACTGAAAATTCTGCAAGATGGTATCTTTAGCAGAAGTTCAGCTAAACACATACATGACCATTTGTAGGACTGAGGTCTTGACACAGGTTAATGGGCAGTTTACTCTCCGGGAAACCATTCTGGCTTATATGACTAGAAAATTATTGAATATTAAGGAACTTTTCTGAAATCCTTATCAGTCCTTATGCTGACCACTAACTCATTAAAGATGCATTGCTGTATGGGAGCTGCCCGGGCTTCAGTGTTTGCACTTACCATGCCTTGGCCCCAGCCATCACATAATTGAAGGCAAACTGTATTTCCTTGCAGTTATTCCACTGTTACTGCTGTTGTGTCCATGTCGATCGAGAGTGAAAGGATTTGCTGCCATACCGGACGGCAGTGAGGCGATGTTACGTAACTGGAACAGTGAGGGAGCAGCTCCTGAAGAGAAGGCATGTTTACCTAATAATATTTTGCTTTGATTTTCATCCAAGTGTTTCAGTTTTGCACTTGGCAATCTCTTCCACATTGGTGTTTCAAAGCTGTAGAGCAGTTTTTAACCACACATGAACATTAATTGAAATTAACTGTTGTCAGGCTCAGCAGAAGACGTGGAAGATGAATTCCATCAGCAGTCTGGAAATACCAACTGTGGTGTTTAAATTCCAAAGCAAAGGGAAAGTAATCAAGCAAGTGCTGATAGTATCCGAACAGAGATAGGAGTGTGGGAAAAGCACTGATGCTGCAAAGAGCAAAGTATTTACATTTGCAAGTTGAGGGCTGTGTGCCCATTTGGGAGTATGTGTTTTTTTTTTTTTAAAAAAAAAAAGGATTTATAAAACTTAGCTTCCAATCACTAATTTAAAGCTTCAGGTTTCATTTTAATTGGCTTCTTAGAGGAAAATCTAAAAATAAAATTAAAAAAAATAGCAGGAGTAACTAAAATAGGCAGAGGGAAAGAAGAACAGTGACTTCAAGGGAAATTCTCCCTTTCTTGTTGCCTTAAACAAAATTTTCAATAGTCAAAAAATGAGTATGACATTGGCACACTTTTGGATGCTATCAAAGAAACAGGAGTAAAGTAATAAACCTTCATTTAGGGCCAATACTCACACTAGTTTTTGGCAGAAGAAGTTAACAGGGAAGCTGAACTTGTAGGGGAAAGGAAAGGTCCATATAGCACTATGGAGGAAACAACAGGTAGGATACACTCTCCACTCTTTCGCTTGGGGAAAGCTGGCCTTGTCTCCCTGCCTGAAGGGACTACCAAAACTTTCTTGAAACAGTTGAGCTCCCTAGAATTTTGCAAGGGTTTTGTTTTCTTTTTGTTTTGTTTTTTCTTTTCTTCTTCCCCTCTTTGATTCCCAACCTTCTGAGTTTTAAGAAACAATTAATCTAGCTCTCCTGAGAACACAGTCATGGAAACTGCACCCTGTTTCATGAGGCACTTTACTCTTTGCAGCAACATGTTTTAAGCACAAATTCGAACAAGTCATCAAACAGCACCCTCCCAGGTTCCACCCAGCCTTGCTGCTGGTTTGGTGAGTTCTGCGTGCCTGACAACACAGCTTCATGTTGCATCCTAATTTGTGTTGTTTTATGTAGTCCATGCTAAACCTCATCACACCCACTGTAGCGGGGAAGATGAGTGCAGCGGCCGGAGCGGCGGGAGCAGCGGCTGGAGCGGCGGCGGCAGCTGCAGCAGCAGGAACAGCAGGAGCAGCAATGAGCGCAACAGAAGGCAGCAGTTATGCATCTCATGTGAGAGAGCACGGCAACACTGTGATCAGAACCAGTGAAAGATGGGAAGAGCAAAGGCCTCTCTTCTCAGATGCCAGTTATGGAGCCATGGCAGCTGGACGGGGTGAAGGTGTGATAACTGGAGAAGGCAAGACAGTGGTGGCTGGAGGAGGTGCGATGATGGGAACTGGAGGAGCCATGAATGAAGAATTCTTAAGAGACTACTTCAGTGATGTAAGCATATGCCCTGAGTACCCAATATTGATGCTTAGAGATGCTAGTATGTGATTCTTGGGAAAGTGAGTTGTGAAATGGCACTTACGTTATTGCAAGCATAGATCTTGACTCAGATTCTGTGCTTTGTGTATCTCTCATGGGGACAGGTTATGGGTCCAGGCTTATGGCTTCTGGTTTATGTGGGACCTGAAGCATGACAATGCTCAGTCTCACAGCACTCTGTTTAGGTGCTATGAGACTGATAAGAGCCTCCTCAGGAAGGCTAGGGAATGGAATCCTAAATATTCGGTAGGAAACGGGGAGGGCCTTATTCACAAAGAAAATCTGTGTGGGAGATCATGTGATATAAAACTCAAGCACTTAAGCACCTTATCCTGGTCTGTAGGGAGGCATTTTCATGACTCTTCATGAATCACAACTAAGAACCTCATGGAGGAAGTGCTTGAAAGACTATAGAAAGGCTATAGATGGCAAAGGGTAGAGGGTGAGGTTTGTTTATTTGAAACTGATGAAGTGGTGCTGGTGTTGTCTTTTTGCTCAACAGCTTGCTTTTCCTCTGAACATTGTTCTTTGTAGCGTTGTGCATAATCTGAGCATAATGAGCTGCAGGACAGCTTAGTGGAGTGACTACAGTCAGCTTCACAACTTTGGGGAGGTTATTTGAGAGGTATTTCAGATTATAGGGAGAAAAAAAAACACACACAAATAACCAAACCACATTGTTTTGGATGTGTGTTGATTTTTGTAGAAACATCTCTGGGAATGTACCCACTTCCAGGATCAAATATAGATCAACACATGGAGGCGGTTTGGATTTGGGTATATACCATGTTGTCCAGGTGCCTAAGCTAATTTGCACTCCAAAACCTTGACCATGGCAAGAGAGTGGCTCTGAACACAAGCCAGCAAGCATATTAGGTGAAGCTGGTTAAGCAGGCTGCGGATCCTGTTTTT